ATCCGAACCCGGGCCGCCAGCAGCGGAGCGCTCGCATTTAACCACTAAGCCACGAGGCCGGCCCCTAATTCACAGATTTTTAAGCAGGGTTTTATAAGAACCTAAAGAGTTGCCTTACTGCCTTCTGTTAAATCTCAGCTATTTTCTAGAAATCGCAAGATTTTCCACCTGTGATGCTGGGCTAATAATAGATGCCATTTGAATATTTAAGGATTCCATATATTAAAGATTCCTTATGTTATCATGTTAAACTTATCAGACATTTGAAAGAAATCAGGAAATAGTGCTTGGTGTAGTGCATTACTTTAGTGCTATTACTTGGCTCTGTGACTACACTGAAATAGGCCTTGGATTCAACAATCTCTCAAAATTTTGAAGACCTGGGATTCGAGTCAGTATCTTAGCTATTTTTAAAGATGTTTTGGCATCAGGTTTCATAGATTATGGACACAAAAGGAAGGAGAGATAGAATGAATGAATATAAATGCATTGTTTTAGCAGAAATTAGATGATGAGGGACCTTGAACATTTATTAGATGATTTTTAGAGTAGTCGTGGAGAGGGGGTGATGAGGACCATGGACCTAGTTGGTAGGGTGTTGGGAATAGAATTGAAATGGATATGGAGATATTAAAGCATTCTTCAAGATTTAATGGTTGATTGGATGTGGACACAACAGTATAAAAATTAATTGTGACTGTTATTTTGTGGTCCCTTTGGTTGTAAAGCTATTTTGGGCAGCCTGTAATTAAGAATGGAGACTGGACTAAGAGAATGGCCCAAATACACCATTGACACTGAAGCAGGTAGGTGCTCAGAATCCCAGAGACCTACAGAGAGAGCCTTTGAGGACAACCCTAGTTAGGTATTGAGGAGAAGGAGGGGCCAGAGGTGTTGTGCAATATTCTTGTAATTGCATTGTAGTTTCTTTAGCTGGTAAGTTTATGTGGGAGGACAAAAAAGATGGCTAACAGCCATGAGGGAGAGGGAGAGGGGAGGGCAAGTGAGCACCTGAGTAAGGGCCATCTGCTACTTAAAAAAGATACACAAAACTTGATCTATTTCTGTCTGTAACTTGAACAATTATGATGAAATGTGGAGGCCATGCTATCCATGGTGGTTTAGGGTGGTAGTACTGAAGAGAATCTTCAGTATTACCATTACTAATGACATACTCAAATTATAGAAAAGTACATGAGTTCTAAGATTCTGAATTTTAATTTTATAGTAAAAATTTTTTTGGCTATTATCAACCAGAAAATTTCATTAATTAGCAATGTCACTTACATTGTATAACAGTAAACTTGATAATGCTCCTAAAGGTCTACTAAGTTTTATTTTCTTGAGCACTAAATACGTGGAAAATTTTAATTTACATATAGTAGTTTTGTTAATCAGGATTTTTGATTAATCAGTACACTCTATTCTCTAACCATATTGTATCCTGTCTCATTTAATGAGATTTAAATTTGGATCTGTGCTGAAATAAACTCATTGCTTTTTGAAAATAGTTTTTATTCAATAATTGTTTTTTTAAGTTTATATTTTTAATAAATTAATGAAAGATTTTGTTGGACAACAAAAAATATTAATACTTTAAACATTTTTGCAGATGAACAAGAAGATGAAGATGCCATAGTCAACAGGATTTCGTATGTATTTTAAAGTTTAATTATTCTCCTTCTAATTCTGAAGTCATAAATTATCAAAATTTAATTCTACCTTTTGGGCAGAAATATGGAAAAAATTCACTTACAGTATTTCAGCACCTTTTATCAATATTAATCCTATCCTCAGAAAGCACATATAAGCAAATATACATGGATAATTGAGGATTGATTATCTCCTGTTAAAATTTGCTTATTTAACGAGCCAACAGATTTTATCTTCAGAGGATTTAACCAGTAAATAGGCTTAAGGTTGGGAAGATTGCTGGGCTGTAAGAAGGAAAGCTCTTGGCTGTTTGAGTGGTCTGCTAAGAAGACTATGACGGTCTTGGAACAGGGAGCTTTACCTTCTCTGAGCAGGGAGATGGACTCAGTCCTTTTAGGTTCCTTATAGTTCTCTTTCTGCCTATGTACTCTGATATATGATAGAAATACCCTTTAATTTTTTTGAGGTATCAAACTGGATGGAAAACAATGCATTCCTTTCTTTCAGATTTTATTTGATTAAAATTTGAAATTACACAGAAATACCTACATAAGAGAGTATCTATATTCTTGGATTTTTTTTATTGATACTTTAAAAATTTTTTGAAATAGTCCCAAGTTTATAGAAAAGTTAAAAATGTAATACAAAGAGCTTTTTCCCCCCTGAACTGTTTGAGAAGTTGCTGACCTGATGTTCCATTTCCTTAGGATACTTTTGTATATAATTCCTATAAACAGTGCGTTCTCCTACAAATCTACCATACAACCATCAAAATAATGAAATTAACATTGATACAGTACCAGTCATGCCCCATTCCAATTTACGAGTTGTCCCGATAATGTCCTTTGTAGCAAAAGGATTCAGTTTAGAATCACACACTGCGGGTAGTTGTTATGTCCCTTTAGTTGCTGGCAGACTGAAATGCTACTTTAGTATTTCCCTGATTTCCCTGACTTTTATACTGTTGAAGATTACAGGCCAGTTATTTGGCTTTGTCTGATACTTCTTCATGATGAGTATTAGATTATGCATCTTTTGCTGAGGGGCAGGAGAGAGGAGGGGAGGAAAGGGGAGGAGGGAGAGAGACTACATGTACTCACACACACTTATACACACACACACACACACACACACACACACACACACACTTTCATGTACACTGGAATATTATTTAGCCATTAGAAGGAATGAAGTACTGACACATGCTGCAACATGGATGCATCTCCAAAACATTATGCCAAGTGAAAGAAGCCAGACAAAAAAGGTCACATAGTGTGTGATTCCATTTATGAGAAATTCAGAATAGGTAAATCCATCAAAAGCAGGCTGATGGTTACCAGGAGCTGAGGGGAGGGGAGAATGGGGAGCAACTGCTTAATGGATATGGGGTTTTATTTTGGGGTGATGAAAATGTCCTGGAACTAGAAAGAAGTAGTGGTTGCACAACGCTGTGAATGCACTAAATGAATTGTTCACTCTCAGATGGTTAATTTTATGTGAATTTCACCTCAAATGAATAAATGCTTTCAACTAATAAATGACTTCAATAGGGCTGATTTGATTCATAACTGAAAAATGAATATAAATGGACCCTGCTTTACTAGATTTAGTAATTTAAATTATTTTAAATGCCATAGGGAAAACAACTGTAACTTCATAGTGGGAAATCTTGCTGTATGGTTTTAAAACTTAGGCCCATAACTTGGTTTAAATTTACAGGATTAGGGGTCTTAGTTTTATCCCTAGCACCATGACATTTGTGAAAATTCTTAAGTGAATCGTTTTTCTTTGTCTAAATTACTGCTCTTGTAAAAACAGAATAATTCACTTCACTTACCTCTAAAAGCCATGGAGAATCACAGACTGACTAAAGAGCAGATACTAATTCTTTCCCAGTGAAATCCCTTAGGCATGAAGCACCTGTGAGATATGCGCCTCTCTCCTCTCCATTGAGTCTGTGTTCCACTTTTGGTGGTAAATCTACTTAAATGCATTTGTAGATCAATAATTTATAAACAGACAAGAACACATCACTTTGGCTTTTACCCTTGCAGTGTATTTTATGAAAATATGACTGTTTCCTTGTCATGCTGAGGCCAGGAGCGGCCCCACCTCCTTTACCTGCTTTTGCATGGGGCTGGCGCGGTATGTCCGAGGGGTCTGGGTTTTCCCAGCAGGTGGTTTCTGCATCACGTGATGCACACAGACATCTTCTTCCTGAGGTAGATGGGGGTGCACTTACAGTAAAGTCAGGAGGGGGAAGCATGGAGGAGAAGGTCACCTGAGATTCTGTCACCCTAATTCCCCACCCAGTGATCTCTTTGTCTTTCACTGGCTTTTTTTCCTTCTGTGATGGAATGAGTGAGAACTGAAGAGTTAGGTAGATCTGGGTTCAAATTCTGAACTCAAGATTAGCTTGAGTCCAGAAGAGACTGAAAAACGATTCATTTTCTCTGTATGTGAACTGCAACTACCACCTACTTTGTAGTGCTGTTGTGTGGGTTAAATAACATGCAAAAAAAAAAAAAAAAACTCCTAGGGTACGGTGCTTGGTACCTAGTAGGCATGAACTTGGTGTTGTCTCCCTTCTCGCCTAACCCCCTTTCCTTCTCCTTACCTCCTCCCACTGAAGGGAATTGTGGGGCACTGAAGAGGAAGAAAGAATGAGAGGCTGTGCTTAGCCAGGAGAAGAAAGTGGAAGTGCAAGTCTTCAGAGCAAGTTCAGACAAGTTCCTGAGTGTAGGTGACCGTCAGCGCCATCTGGCCGCGTGAGAGAGGGTTCTCCATGACTGGCTCAGGCACCCACGTCAGACTGAAACGTCTTTTCCTTGGCCTCTCTCACCTCCGTTTTAGACTCCACCTTTGGTTTATCTTTTGCTTCTCAAGTGCCTTCAGTCTGTCCTCTGTTTGTATCTACTCATGTCCCCAAATTAACTCCCTCTGTCCTTCCCAACCAAAAATTACATTTTCTCAGAGCTACTCAGCTAGTTATTTGATTTGGATTAAAGTAATTGATATGAAAATACAGTGCCTAACTGGTGAAACTATACTTTTAAGGATGGCTTCTGAGCCCGAGCAAGGGAGGAGGGTTTCCATGCAGGAGGGAGGCCTAGCACAGGTGTTGGAGCCGGAGGAGTGACCTGGTGTGGGCTCTCAGGATCTGAGAGGAGGGAGGGAAGTTTCTCTGCAGGGGGAGATCCTGGCACGGGCTGTCATCCTGAGGGGGTGTCACCTGGCATGAGGTGGGGGGTGCTCTACCATAGGGAGTCAGAGCCCATGCAGAGTGGGGAGGGTGTCCATGCAGGATGGCAGAGCCCAGGTAGACAAAGGAGGTGTGTCTCTAGAGGGATGGCCTGGCATGGGGTGTCAGAGCTCAGGTGGGGAGGGAGGGTGTCTGTGGGGAGTCCCCTGAGCAAGAGGGCGCCTCTGCGTAGGGTGGGGGTGTCAGTGTGTGATGGGAGACTGATCACATATGGGAGAACGGTCCATTAAAGATAATGGCAGCCAGTTACAGTTAGGGGAAAGGAAGAAAACGAAAGTGAACACTTGAGTTGATGCATTGGAATTGGAGGTATCAGTGTGGATGCATGGTTTTCAATATAGAGAGAGTTATCAAATCAGATCTAGATGTGATTGTGGGTACGTGTATGTACAGGTATGCATAGTGTAGACTTACATTCCCTAGCTCTGCTTGTCCGCCTGGGAGCACGGCACCCCAATAGCAATGAGTATATTTAGCACCCGGCACTTTGCTTCTGAATATAGTTTTCCACTAAAAGGAACCAGGGCTCTTTGGGGAAAAGGCTGATTGCAGGGCTAGGATAGGGAAAGTTCCAGGCTCATTTTATACATCTGGTAGTGCAAGAATGCAAGGAAGTGCTCAAAGAATGACGGGGGCGGGGGGGCAGTATGTCAAAAAGACACAGAAGCCCTTCAAGGGCTTTCACGCTAAATCTGGGACAATCTGAGCTTCAAAATAATGATCGTAATAGATCCTACACAGAATAAATAGAACAATCTTGAGTCCATACTGATAGAAATCAGTAAGTGAATAAAATGTTTAACAGGTAACAGGATATTTTCCTAGTTTCACACTTAGCTTCCCACAAAATACTAATTAAAGGGAAGAGTAACTTTAGAGTGGAGAGTCCTGGCAGGCACCACCCTGATCAGTGCTCAGAGAGAAGATGACTGGAAATGGGGCAGACAGAAGTCCTAGGCCACCTGGTAGCGTGCAGAGAGAAGCACGAAGCATCGCTTCTGTGACATTCCTGCCTCAGGGACATGTCTAACTCCATATGTCCAAAGCTGAATTCCTTATACCCCCTTCAGCCTGCTGCACCTGCAGCCTTCTCCATCACAGTTGATGGCAACTCCAGCGTTCCCATTCTTAGGTTAAAAGCTCAGAGTCAGGGATCGGCCCGGTGGCGCAAGTGGTTGAGTGCACGTGCTCCGCTGCAGTGGCCCAGGGTTCGCCGGTTTGGATCCCGGGTGTGCACCGATGCACCGCTTGTCAAGCCATGCTGTGGTGGTGTCCCATATAAAGTGGAGGAAGATAGGCATGGATGTTAGCCCAGGGCCAATCTTCCTCAGCAAGAAGAGGAGGATTGGCAGATGTTAGCTCAGGGCTGATCTTCCTCACACACACACACACAAAAAAATGAAAAATAAAAGTTCAGAGTCATCCTTGACGCCTCTCTCTCATCCCATACCAGGAAGTCCATTTCAGAAGGTGACGTTTCTGGAACTGTCCTTCAATTCTGAGGGGCACTTTTCTGTAGTTATCTGAGCAATGATCACTACTACCCTTTTTCCATTTGTCTTGGCCTACCGTAAGGACCCCTTGCCAGCATTTAACTCCATCACAGCAATCTTCTATGAATAACTCTCTTCGTAGCTACTCAAGGGCAGTTAGGGAGTATGGTATTATCTTTTTTGTATCTCTGGGGCCAATCACAATACCTAAAATGCAATACATTCTAAAAGTGTTTTGTTGAAAGAGCCAACATTAATAGTTATGGTGAACATATATGTTCAGGATTTTCTGGGTCACTTGTGATTTCAAATACTTTATCTGTTTGCCCTCATAAGCTTACTCCGTTGTCAGATTACAGGTCCCAGTTTTTGATTTGGAAACTGTGGTTGGCGTTCATTGCTGGGTATGTGGTCAGGGTGTATGATAGCTAGGAGGAGAGGGACTGACTTTACTGAGAGGAACGAGAAGAGAGACACTGAGGAATGCTTCACACAGCAAATGATGTAAAGAGGGATTCTAGGGAGAGAACTGACTGTGCCCAGGGGCATGAAGCCATAAAACCCATTGAGGTTTGGGGTATGAGGAGGTTAGGTACGTCTGTGTGTGGGAATCTGTCATGGCGAGAGAGGAGTCTGGAAAAGCGTATTGGGATGGCTGTGTAGGACCTGGAATCATGAGATTGTGGATTTGATCTTTATTTTAGCATTGGAAGGAAGGAATGGTAGCAATCAGGATAACTTCCTCATTTGACTTTTGAGGACAAAAGTAAAGAAACTCTCTCGAGGTCACTGGCTGGTCACTGCTGGAGTTGGCAGTGGACCTGAGACAAAGACTTGTCCTAGTGCTTTTCCCAGGAAATAGGTTGTCTATTCAGGAAAACCAGTTTATGAGACTTCTCCTATGTCTGATTGTATTTTTGGTGTGTATCATATGGTCTACGTTTAAATATTTATCAATCATTTTCTGAACAAAGGAGGTTTCATGTTTTTTGGCTTTTAAGTTAGGAAAACACTTCTGTTGATTGCCACAAGATGGCATTGGCCTCAAAGTTACTCTATTAGATGTGTATTTTGAGCCTTTAGTATGGTTTTTTTTCTTATACCTTCTTACATTTATTTCATTCTTCCTATATTAATTTTAATGGATGGATATTAAATTAAGGTTCCATGTCTAATATTAATGAGGTTCCCTTTTCCTTTGCCATTTTAGTCTTTTTAAAATCTTTTAAAGAATTAGCTATAAAATTTGAAACACTTCAGACATATATAGCTGAGAAAGTGAAAGCCCCTTCTAATCCCACTCTCTCATGAGATTGTCGTATATTATGCTAGATTTTTTTTTTGTACCTGTATTTTCCTGTGTGTATATATACATTTTTTTTGGTTGGGGGAGGAGAGCATGTTTTGTATTTATTGTCCATGCTTTTCTTCAGTTTGTTTTTTTGACTTAATTTATTTTGGACATCTTTCTATATTAGTACATATTAGAGATATCTTATTTAAAAAAATGGTAAAATAGTGTTTTAAATGTTGTTTAATAGTTCACTACTGTTTACTGGTATAATTTTTTCAAACCTTTATCCATTTTAAGAGGTAGCAGACCAATGGCTTTGTAAGTTTTTTCCCCTGAAAAAACCATTTTAAATTAATTCGTTTTTCCTACTGCTTTCACGAGTATTGTTTTCACCTGAAACAGTTGTTGCATAACTGTTAGCATGTATTGCCAAAGTTGTTAATTAAATGCAATTGTGAAAGAAATACTTAAATTTAAAAGAGGAATGAGACTGCAGTTTATTCTTGGTAAAGTGTGTGAAGTGCTCTGTCTTCAGTATATATATCTTTTAGGGCCTGCTCGTTAGCCTTAATGATCTTTTCAGAGTAAGGAGTCTTAGAGTTCATCTAGTTTAACTTCCAGGGTTGTACGTACATCATTTGCCTCCCAAATGCTGGTAGTTAATGAAATTCTTATGTAGTTATTTTTGGATTAAACATGTAAGAGTAAACGTAAGCGTTTCTTTTCTTTTTGAACCACCTCCATCTTCCCTGCCCCCTGGATGACGCAGCTCTTCTCTTGCAGGCTATCTCTGAGCACCTTCACTTTAGCGGTTTCTGCCGGCGCTGTGTTACTCCTACCCTTCTCGATAATCAGCAATGAAATCCTGCTTTCTTTTCCTCAGAACTACTACATTCAGTGGCTGAATGGCTCCCTGATTCATGGTTAGTATTTGTTGCTTAATTTAATCACAGGTAATGTTTTAATGTTTTACTGTACTGTATTTTCAGATTTTTCTTTTCTTAGTTTCTTTCATAATTTGTATCTTCCTCCAGTAAACCATTTGAGTCCTTAACAAAATCAGAAAACCAGATTTTACTTACCATTCCAATTCATTAGTTGTGAAAGGCTTTTCTATTTTACTTAATCAAGAAGCTGTTTTTATACATACCATGATTTTGATGAATAAATTTTCGTTTAACTTTTTAGCAGAGGAATTTTGGTTTATCTGGATATGTCAGAAGAATTTAACCTCCATTTAAGACCTTAAAAAAAGCCATAGTTTCATTTTATTTATTTGCTGTTAGTTTCTTTAGTCATTTCAAAATGTGTGATAAAAGGGGGAAAAAAACTCTTGTCAAGTACAAACTTTTACATTAATGTGGTTTTAAAAAAATTAGCGAGTTACTTATTATAGGCAACATGGTATATTGCTTTGAAGCCAAATAGACCTGTATTACAATCTTGGCTCTGCCATTTTCTAGAAGTTTTAATTATAATTTGTAAAATATATAAAAGATCTAATACATAGATCTTTTTTATATGTGTCGTTGTCCATTGCCCCTCCTTTTTCTTCATATTGAATTATGTGAACTCTTTATGTGTGAAACACATCAACATTTTATTCAGTTTTTGTAAATATGTGTTTCTAGTTGTTATTTTGCTTTTTAATTTTATTTAAACTTTTTTTTTCCCTGAGGAAGATTCACTCTGAGCTAACATCTGTTGCCCATCTTCCTCTTTTTGCTTGAGGAAGATTGTCCCTGAGCTAACATCTGTGCCAATCTTCCTCTGTTTTGTGTGTGGGACGCCACCACAGCGTGGTCGCTGATGAGTGGTGTAGGTCCACACCCGGGAACTGAACCCAGGCTGCTAAAGCAGAGTGCGCTGAACTTAACCACTAGGCCGTGGGGCTGGCCTCCTATTTGATTTTTTGATTTACAGAACTTTTACATTTTTATGTTATCCAGTCTTGTTCTTCGTTTGATTTCTCTAATTTTTTTGTGTTTTTGTGTTTAGAAGATCCTGTCCCTTCCTGAAATATGACAAATACTCCCTTTTTTCCTTATTTTTTAAAAATGGTTTTGTCAACCTACAAAAACAGAAACCAGTTTAAGAGGCAAAGCATTTATTTGGGATCACAGAATTACATTTTGGGGAGCACAAATTTAGGTAGAAACCCAGATAGTGTCCTGATTACAGGAGAGGGTCTTAGGGTTTTTATGGGAAGAAGGGAGGATGAGGTAAAGTTGTATTAAAGAAGAGTTCATTGGTGCTAGGTGAGGTAAGGCTAGGTTTGTACTTCACAGATTGGCCTGAGGTTCAATCATCAGGCAGAAGGCTAGACTTGTGCTTCAGTGATTGGCTGGTGATCCAGTCATCAGTCCAATCCAGTTCCATCAGTCCTTACAGACAAGAAAACCTCGTCCTTGCTGACTTCTTTGGAATGTTGGTGGTTTGGTTCAGTTTGGAAGATAAAGAAAACAATATATGCAAGGCAGTTCCTCTGAAATGGCTGCTCTGGCTCTATTTTAATATAGCTCCACTCATGTCATCTTTCACATTGTTCCCCTTTGGATCAAAATCTTTCTCTGAAAGCATCGCTGATCAAACACTGGAAAGCTTTGCTGATCGCCTATCAGAAAGCATTGCTGATCAGCCATCAAAGCATCATTGGTCCCTCGTCGCCAGGAAGGCTCATTCCTGGTATGTCATGTCTCACATAGGAGAGAAAGTGGTTTCCTTAGGAGCCATTAGGCCACATTTGGGCAACAGGAGTTCCAGAACAGAGTAAGGCTCTACCCGTCAAGTTCCTTTAGGGGTAAATATCTTCTGCAGTTCCTTGAAGTTTCTCATGTGAAGTTTCACAAACCTTAGTAATCATTTCAGAGCACTGAGTGATCAATATGTGAGTGATGTTTTTATAACGTCAAGCTATGCAGAGGAGACAAAGTTTTACAACAAGAATTCCTATATTAATAAACAAAATACTAAGTCCAAATGGGAGAGTAGACCTCCCATTGCCAGGAGGCAGTGCTTGAGGGCAGCCAGCGAAAGAGATCAAAAAACTACAAGAGGTCAGTGGGCAGTGCATTTAACCATTCAGTTTGTGCCCAAATTCTGTCTACTTCTGTCTCTACCTTGCCAGAGGTGTTTACCCAAGTAAAACAAGAGGTATTTACAACAGTTACAGATGTTACCTCTTAAATCTCTGGAGGTTTGATTAGTTAGGCAAAAAGTTATAGACACTTAGTACAATGAATTAGGGGAGGAATAGAGGAGAGATTGGTAATTAAATGTATTAAAGGATTTTCTAGATTCATGTACAGAATGAGTCTTCTGATGACAAACCCAGCAGTCAGATTTCCTCCTTTTGTAATAGATTGAGAGATGTGGATAAGAGTGTTATCTTTATAAGAAAGAGAGAGAGAAAATAAAGTAAGAAGCAACAGCAAGTAAAAGGTATACAGGCCTGGTTTGGCCATCGTGGAAAAACGGTCTGCCTCAGATGTTGGCAACTTCTTTTCCTAGTTAATTTGTTTTGGAAGCCTCCAGTGTTTGGACCAGATGTCAGGTGCAGACCTCTTTAAATGTGAGATGTATCTCTGAGGTTCGGTGCCTTCTAGTTCTGCAGCAGTGTCAGTGGTTAGGAGCACTTGGTAAGGTCCTTTCCAGTGGAGCTCTAGGGCTGTCTTCTTCTGATGTTGCTTCCAGAATAGGCTTGAGCATAAGACATTAGAGACTTAAAGTAGCTGGTCATAGTAGCGTAAGTAGCATACCAACAGACGCTGATCTTGCCAGTGACCATCCTGTGTGGGATCAGTTCCTGTTTTCCAAAGAGGGCTCTGTGAGCAGTCGGCGAGACCAAAGGCAATACCTTAGGCCAGGGGAGGCCAGTCTATAGGTGTATAACAAAACCTTAAAGACAGTTAACAGGACTAGAATCTAACATCTACAAAGGTGTAACATAATTTTTCTCTCCACAATTGCCCTTATTTTTTTTACCAAAGATAATCACAGTAAAATTAATTTGTTGATATTAAAAGCTTGGCCTGATTATTTATATAAGTGAAAATAAGAATATTCACTGAGAGTTTCTCAATTCTGGAGAGATCAGATAGGGAGGAAAAGTAAATGTTTCATCTTTGTTCACAAAGGTATATCTTACCAAATTGTTGATAGCTTAAGAGAAAAGATTTCTTTAAATCCGGAAAAGCAAAACATCAGAGCGTTCTTCTTGGTTCATGTAGTCCCATGTAATCAATTCTTTTTATTTACTTATTTTTATTTATTTATTTTTTTGTGAGGAAGATCAGCCCTGAGTTAACATTCATGCCAATCCTCCTCTTTTTGCTGAGGAAGACTGGCCCTGAGCTAACATCCATGCTCATCTTCCTCTACCTTATGTGGGACACCACCATAGCATGGCTTGACAAGCGGTGCGTTGGTGTGTGCCCAGGATCTGAACCCAGGCCGCCAGCAGCGGAGCGCACGCGCTTAACCACTGCGCCACCAGGCCGGCCCCCATGTGATCAATTCTTGATCTTAACCTTTTGTTAGCAGTTATATGAAGCCATCAATTTCTCCATTAGAGTTCTGTAATTTCTTACACAGTTCAGTTTTATGATCTGAAAGTTTATCAGAAAGCTGTATTCTAGTGTTATGAGAGGTTCGGGGATTCGATCGGAGACGTAAAAGAAACTTTCCACTCCAAACAAATGGACTGAAGGTATATTTTATTATATAGAGGATAGTAAAGGCGATAGTCCACAAACAGATCCGAATAGGTCAAATAATGAGGGAAAAAACATCAGCTCGACTGGAAAGGGAAAACATCCACATCCGCTGAGATAGCAGCAGGTCCGAATAGGTCATATAATAAGAGGGAAAAACATCAGATCGATCGGAAAGGGAAACACCAGATCGACTGAAGGGAAATGACACAAATCAACTGGAAAGAGAAACACCAGGTTGACCGAAAAGAGAACACATCAGATCAATTACTTCATATCAAATCAATTACTTCACATCAATCAATTACTCACAATATCCACGCCCCACTGCCGGGAGAGTCCTGTCAATTGACGCGGCTGGGCAAGGATCACACGTCCTGGGCAAGGTGTCCCTTCCACAGGTGGAACTCTCACCGGGTCTCAGTCTCCAGCAGTTTATATAAGCAGTTACAGAGTTTACAGAGCAAGCATCCAGTGTTCCCATGCACAAATGGTTATCAGTGGCGTATGTGCATTGAGCCCCTTGGCTAATGTCCTAGCCCAGTAATTGTGTACGTGCATTGTTCTCTTTGGTTATCGTCTTAGCCTGGCACAGATGGCCAGTCCATCCCATGCTACGATGCTCCAAGAGCCTTGAAATGTTACAACTTGCAACTCTCTCCGTGGGAGAAGGGCCAGTTCCCACCACGCAGAAAGCAGCTTTTATATTTCTTTTTGTGCTGGTGGCTGTAGGTCAATGGAGCGGCCAAACATGGCTGTACTCATGTCAAGACATCTAGAGTAAGTGTCAGAGGCCTTGCCATGAATCTCTCTGAAGATGAAACATATTTGCAGAAGCATCAGAGTAAAACAATAAGTATATATAGATGATAAAAGACTTAAAATTATAATACAGTTAAATTATAATGCACTTAAAATTAAAAAGTTCACCTAAAAAACCTTTAATCTTACAACTATTTAGTTTACTTTGTTCTCAATAATTATATTTAGATTACCTACAAAAACTTCATGAGACAATAGACAAGGAAATTTGGTTATTTCTGTGACATGTAACATTTTAATATAACTAGAATTACAAGTGATAACATTCTATCTACCAGGACATATTAGAAGTTTTAAAAATTTCATATAATTTCTAAAATGCTTTTATTAATAACATATATGCATGCAAGGGTATCCATAAAGGAGGCCTAGAATTTGACAATGCTTCC